CTGCGGATGCCTGGCCCGGGCGATATCGCCCGCGCCGCCAGGTTACGCCTTAAAGATAAAAACCTGCCCTTTGAGGAGGACAGGGACGGCTCCAGCGCTGCGGCATTTAGCAGAAAACTCTAGGAAAAGCGCCATGCCGGGGAGGTTTCTGAAAAGAGGAGATATAAATAGAGCCTGACGTCAGGGCTCCCATTGTCCGGGGTTTTGTCGCTCGCCCCAAACACCCCGAGCGCCTTTAACGAGGCGCCTCGCCTGAAACATTTTCTGCTTCCAGGCATTTACAAAATGGGACTGTTCCAGAAGGGAAAGAAAAAAAAAATAAAAAAGGAAGGAAAAAACATGTGAAAGGGAGAAAATGTGACGTTATTTTATTTTGTTCTTTAGAATGTAATTGAAGTGCTGGGCTGGAAAGGGCATCACAAAGTAATTGGAGAGCAGGGAAGACACAGAGATGGATATATCAGTGCAGACACACTTCTGCAGAGGGCAGCGGGTCTGTGCAGGACAGAAACAGAAGATGATGCACACGGATGGATGGGGAAGCGCGTGCTCTCCCCAGCAAGCGGGACAAATACGTCTGTTGTGCGTACGCGTGTGCACAGGCGTGCGCCATGTGTGAAGACAGACGTTGGATGGTCCCTGGGGGGTCACACCGATGGCATTGCTCCGTTGTCACCCTGGCCCCGCTGCTCTGCACGGCCCTTCCCCGCACACCCTCAACCCAGGGAAGAAATCCCACCCGCCCCATCCCTGCCCTTTAGCCAAATTCAATAGTCAATTCCATCCTATTTTCTTTTTTCCGATGGCAAGTGCAAGGCTGGATGAGCAATCCCCTCTGCTCTGCCTGCCCAGCCTCGCGCACATTTTAATTAGATCCTGCAGGTACCCAGCCGGCATCTGCCTTGTGTCAGCCTCTACACAAATGAGGTTAGCTAATCGATGCGTCCTTCAATTGCACTCATTAAGGCGAGCGCACCTACGCGCACTAACCGGGTTACTCAGCGACCAGCCAGCCCCCGCTCCGACTTCCAGCCCCCGGCTAACAGCGGGGAAGGGCCGGGGTGGCCAGGCAGCCAGGACTTGCCTTCCCTCACTTTCCAGCAGGATTTCTAGCCGGTGGCTTCCAGGATTTTCCCCTCGGCGCTGGGGAGCGCGTATCGAAGGGTGGGGAAGTGGCACGAGCGAAGTGGTGGGGGAAACGGGTAAGACCGTGCAGAAAGAAGGGATGAGGCTCCCTGCACAAAGATGTTCACCACCACTTTAGAAGGCTCCACACCCTCCGTGGGGACACCAGCCTGCTCCATGGGAAGACGCGCTTGCTCCGCAGAAAATCCAGGACAAACGGAGGGTCTCCGTGACCTTTGAGGACTCTGTGGTCCTCCCAGCCCTGAAGCCAGGTATAGCTTTTGCTGTGGTTCACACACAGCCCGCCCTTCCCTCCCTCGCCTCCCCCAGCCTGCTCCAGGCTCTGGCTGCAGTGGCAGAGGCTGCTCTCGGGCCCTGGCAGAGATCAGCAGTCGAAGCCACCTTCCTTTGCAAAGGCCACAGCTTTACCCAGCCCAGTCCCAAAGGCACGCTGCAGGCATGTGCTCCTCCACAGGTGGCAACCACAGAAAACCTCTCCTTCCCCTTCTCCTTCTGACAGCATGGCCCGGGAGGTACGGGACTGCTCACACAAACTGAGGAGAACAGCAGCTGCCACCCAAACCAGGAGCCCAAGGGCACAGGAAGACCAAGAGCAATGGACCAAGGATGTAGTGAAGGTGCCAAGACCCATCCCATGGGCAGCTGCAGCCTTTGGGAGAGCTGCAGGTGGGAATGCCCAGCGACCTCCCTGGTCTGTGGTGACTGAGGATTGCCTTCCCCTTCTGCCTTGGAGAGGGCACCTCCACATCTCCCATCCTTCCCTGCTGCCACGCTCAGCAACGTGCAGCAAATGCTCTCCTCCCTGCCAGGAGACAGCGTGTACAACACAACCATCTCTAACATAACCATCTCCAACACCACCATCTCCGCATCAGATGCTTCGCCACAGTGGTCACACCAAGCGGCCGAGCTGGGAAAACCCAGTGAGCTCTGGAAACTTGAAGGGCTTCGCAGGAGCAGCCCTGCCTGCTGGGGATGGCAGAGCAGCCCCCGGCACCCCATCCTGCGCTTGCCAACCGCTCCCCGGGATCTCAACACCCCTCTGTGCCCTAAGGCAATTTTATCTTTCATTTAAAAGTATCCAAATTGTATTGTTTCCCTGTGAGTCAGCCCATTTAGTTTATGTCCTTCAGTGCCAGAGGGGAAATTTATGAGATGAGAAACTGGCTCGAAACGTTTATTTTCTAGATGACGAGTCATGCCATTAGATATATAGCATTATGAATCATAGGAACAGCATCTAATTTGCTCTTAAAGGTATAATAGGTCTGACTCCCCACACCCATACACACACATATACTGGATTGATAGTTCCCCCATAGGATGGCTAGTTCATTTGTTTTGACACAAGCAAGACTTACAGGACCATAAAGTCCCATCTTACCATAAGTTAAGCCTATTCATAAAAAAAATATTAGGGAAACGAATGATCAGCTAAGCACATTTATCCTATACTCGATTGCATATGGATCTTTCTCCTGTTGTTATTTGTGCTCAGGGGGAGGCCATTTGGCCCCGTTTTATGGCTTAGACGCTCTGCAACAGCATATAGAAGAACATTTCCTTTGTCCTCTGTTAGACCCGGCTGATGGAGGGAGAAGCATTAAGTTATTTCTGACTGTGGGTTTTCTGCTGACATCCCTGGAGAGGAAAAATTATAGGACATGAAGCAACATTTCAGATCAGCATTTGCAGGACTCAGCACGCACGGCAGGGGTGGGTGTTTCCAGCTGGGGTACTGGGAAGGGCGTGAGTTGGGTGCTCCTCTGTGAACACCTGGTCTTCTCCATGGCTGGCAGGGATACGAAAATGCGGCTCAACTGTTTCTCCAATTCTAGGTTTCCTTGTGGTTGATACACACACCTCAGTTTCTGGAAAAATTAAAAAGGAAATACAGGAAGATAAAAAAAAACAACCACACTTGAACACGCAGGCTGGACAGAGATGTGCTGGAGATACTGGAGATGATCTAGATACTCGCATTTTGGTACATCTTGGGTTTTGTGCTGGTTTCCCTGGTCTTTGTTTGCTTGTTTGTTCCTCTTCTTCTAAATGTAGGAGGAAAGGAGGAAGAGTGGAAGCAGGCTGGGTCACGCCAGCAGACAGGCTCAGCCCCACGCCCAGGGACACAGCAGCCAACGGAGACATTCTGTCCCTTCCTGCTGGCAGGATGGAGACGGTGCCTGCACACAGGAGGAGGCAGATCCAGCAGACCCGTGCGTCCAGCGATGCCGTCCCATATGGCGCCTGACAGAACCGGGCCACCGACCGGTGCTCCCGGACGCTGCCGTGCCCCAAGCAGTCCGCAGGTAGCAATAGCATTACTGACTGTCCATGAAGGGAAAGGGGGCTATGGGATGGAGGCTCCAGCTGGGATTGCACAGCCTGAACGGGATGCTGCCATGATAATAGGGTGGCTGGAGGAAAAGCTTTCCGTGCCCTTACAGTAATGCTCAGCGCTGCTCACAGGAGATGAACACTGCTCCTCAGACTAGACATCTCTGGGAGGAAGGGGGGGGAGGTGGGGAAGGAGGAGGAAAACTAAGGATTTCCCAGGCCAGAGACTCTTTCCAGGATCACGCAGTTCACGTCTGAAAGTCTGCTCCAGGTTCACAGCAAAGGAGGATGAAGTTTCCCCACTGCTGTT